TGAGGTAAAATATGTAAAACAGTAAAATGTAATGTGATTTATTTAGGTGTTTTGTTAGCAAGCAGAAACATTTCCTCTCTGCTGTCAAATAGCCTTTGACAATGTGATTTTTGATGGTTGTGTGTGTTTTGGGAGACTGCTCTGCTGGATTTCCTGTTGCTGCACCCTGCCCTCCAGTTAGGGATCTAAAAGGTGGTGACCAAATGTGGTGAGACTGCATTTCTCAAAGTGTGGTCCTCTAGTCACTGCAATGAGTCATCCAGATAACATTCTAAGATGCAGATTCCAGGGCCCATGACAGCAGCACTAAAGCAGACTCTATGAGTGGGGCTCAGGAATCTGCAACTATAACCAGCCACCAGGTAATTCTGATGCACACGGAAGTGTGAGAACCTCAATACGCGTCCCTGATCACTTTCCAGGTGAAACCTACCCACTCGCAAGCTGAGTCAGGGCACATCTTCCATCTCCATTTTGGGTGAGTTAGGTTTTATGCCAGTCTCTCCTTTTCCTAGCTTGCACCATTCTTTGTATCTTCTACAAACAACTGCTCCATATTCTGGACAATCTTGGGCCATCACATTGTTTTCTGTTATGAGTATTCTAATTGACAATTATGCTCTACTTCCCTGCAGCTCCCACTTGTTGGCCCCAGTCCTGACTAGAACTGTCAAGAAAACACCTAATTCCTCTCATGTACAATTTTACACCCATTCCTTCTTTCCTTTGTTCATTCAATGCAAATGCACTGGGTACCTACCATGTGCCAGGCACTGCCCTAGAGCTGAGGCATAGGGGTGAGACTTCTACGAAGGCTGGCTGCTACTCATCTGCCAGGTTCCAGCTTATGTATTGCTTCTCAGTGAGCCTTCCCTGGATGACTCCACCCAAATGGGCCCCACCACCCTTATTCTCTATCTCAGTACCCTCTTCATTGTTTAATTTGTTTTGCCTATATTCTTGAAGGATACTTTTGTTGGGTATAGAATCCAGTTCTTCCTTTCAACACTTTGAAGATGTTGTTATGCTATTTCACGGCTTTCATTGTTTCTGACCACAAGTCATTGATCACTCCAATCACTGTTGCCCTACGTGTGCCATTTTCCTTTCCATTTTTGTTTTTTCAGCAGCTGTATTATGATGTGTCTGTGATTTGCTTGTGTTTATCCTGCTCAGGGTTAGTTGAACTTCTTGAACCTGCAGTTTATATCTTTCACCAAATTTGAAAAAATACTGGCCATTATTTTTTTAAATGCTTTTCTTCTGCCTTCTTTGCTCTCTTTTATCTTTCTGGGATGACAATTACATGTAAGTTGGGTCTTTTGATAATGTCCCATAAGTTCCTGAGGATCAGTTCACTATTTTTTCCATCTTTTCTCTTTCTGTTCTCAGATTGGATACTTTCTATTGAGGTTGCTTCATTTTTTATCACTTTCAACATGCTGTTAATTCCATCCAGTGAATTTAAAATCTTCAAATATCATAAGTTTTCAGCTCTTGGATTTCCACTTGGCTCTTCTTAAAAGAGTTTCCATATTTCTGCTGAAATGTCCTTTTGTTCATATGTTCATGAGCAAATTTTCCTTATGTCCTTACGCAGAGTTACAATAGGTACTTTAAAATTGTTGTCTACTAATTCTAACAGTTGAATCTCTAAATGTACGTCTCTTGATTGCTTTTCCTTTTGAATGTAGGTCATAGTTTGCTGTTTTTCACCACTGAGTAATTTAGGATGTATCCAAGACATTGTGAATGATACAAAAGCTATAGATTTTGTTATGATCTTCTAAAGAGTGTTGCCTTTTTTTTTTTATTTTAGCCTTAATGGGGCTGTTTAGAGTCTGCATCACGCATGCGTACTTCAGGAGTTAGAGATTTGGGAGTTCATACACAGAATTTGAGGCTCCTCCCTCTCTGACAGGTGTCTTCCCTTGCTTTCTGCCACTGTGATTACCCCAAACTGTGTCTTCAGGCTCTTTGCACCAGCAAGACTCTGACCTTCCCTCAAATTGAAAACCATACACCATGGGAAATTCATTGCTCCCTTATTTCAAAGTTTAACCCCCACCAGGATCTCCCTGCCTTGGATTGTTATTCAAGTGTCTGCAGATGGTTGTTTTTCACATTCTATGCAGCGTTTAGAGCTGTGACGAGAGAGAGAAAGAGAGAGAGAGAGAGAGAGAGAGAGAGAGAGAGAGAGAGAGAGAGAGAGAGTCTGCTAGGAGTTGCTTGGCTCATACTTGATAAGAAAGAATCTCTATTTTTAAAATTATTTTTAATAGTCTGCCCTCCCATCAGACTATAAACTTCTTGAGGAGGGTGGGGATGGAACCGTGTCAATTTTGTTCATGATTGTATCCCCAACTCATGGTACAGTGCAAATGGTAGGGGCTTGGCACATGTTTGTTGAGTGTATTAATGAAGGTAGTTTCAGGCCTTACCTTCATGGAGCATATAGTCTATCAGAGAAGATAGATATTAAACAAATAATCTCAAGGTTAGAAAAAGGAAACAGAGTTAAGCAATATAAAAAAAGATGACTACACGTAAGACAAGTAATGACTCTATAGCCTCTTCTTATGTTGATAGTGACTGTAGTGGGGCGGTGGGGGACTTGATAATATGGGTGAGTGCTAGAACCATAATATTTTCCACGGAACTTCTCATGAACATGTCTGGGTTCCATCATGGAACAGGTAGCTCAGTGGGACTGGAGCTGGTTCTTGGATAACAAAAATTTCAAAATGCTGAACAATGTGGATGCTGCCCAGCATTAGCGATGAGGGGCCAAACGCACACCCTCTTGCTGGAGTGTAAGTGTGCACTTCACAGGGGTGTAATAGACTGAAGAGTGTCTCTCCAAGTTCATGTTAGAGCCTTAGACTGTGACCTTATTTGGAAGCAGGGTCTTTGAAGATATAATTAAGGTAAGGATTGAGATAAGGTCATGCTAGACTAGATTGAGCCCAAAGTCCAATGAGAGTGTCCTTGAAAGAGGAGAGGACACACAGAGAGACACTTCCGGGAGAAGGCCATGCGAACATGCCGGCAGAAATTGGAGTGACGCTGTCACAAGCTGAGGGACACCAGGAGCCGCCAGAAGCTGGAAGAGGCGAGAAAAGATCCTCCCTTGGACTCAGGAAGGATCGTCATCCTGCTGACACCTTGATTTCAGACTTCTGGCTTCTAGAACTGTGAGAGAAACATTTCTATTGTAAGCCACCAAGTTTGGGTAATTTGTTAGAGCAGCCCTAGGATGCTAATGCAGAGGTAATTGGATAGTATTTATTTAAGTCCCTTCAACCCATTAGTTCCACTGCCAAGAAATTACTGGAAGGATATTCTCCCATATCTTACCTTATCTCCCTGGCTCCGTTTTTGCTCCCCTGTAGACTGTTTGCCACGGAGCAGCCAAAGCCATCCTCTTAAAGCTGTTGATCTGATCGTGTCACGTCCTTGTTTAAAACACTTCCATGGCTTTCCACATCTCCTGAAATCTAAACCCCACAAGACCTTACACTGACAAGAGAGGAGGTTGGCCCCTCTCCATCTTGGAGACTGGCTACCACAGTCCATTAGCCAAGAGGTGCCCCAGTTTCTTCATTCCTTGTATTTTGTCAATTTGTTCAAAGGAACAATGGAGCTCATGGGGAAGGGGCCTCTGGGCATGTGGATTTGAGAAAATTGGCATTGCTATAAGGAGAGTGGGCAAGAGTCATCAAGTATTCTTCCAAATAGAAAAATTGGATTGTTTCTTAATTTTAAATAAAAATCAGTCCTTTTTGTGGTTGCTTCCTTATTGCCAGTATTTATAATACTTAATGCAGTATTCCATAATCCCAGAATAACTTTAGCAAGGCCTAGGGTGATAGGGGTGAGAGGCAGTGGGAAAAGGGCACTGTTTGATTGGGCCTCCTCACAGGGCCTTTTGATTTAGACTCCCAGGAAGCTAATCCTCAAAGATAAATTTGTGCCGCTTAACTAGACCAGCATTGTGTCTGCTGTACCGGGAATGAATGTTTTAGAACACAGATCCTATATTTATTTACCTTGTGCATAGCACAGGTACTTTCATGGTGTTTTTGTGAGTCCACACAGATCAGCCTCCCAGGGTACAGAGCAGAGTACAGATGAATAGAGTGTATATATTTATTTGTAAAATGTAAGTATCTAAGTTTTTATACATTTATAAACCTATTTAGAATTTCTTCTTTTTTAAAATAGTCTAGCAGCCCCTGCATGGAAAAGGCCTGACCTTGTTAAAAGGCTCAGAACTGTTTTAGGTTATGCACAGTTATGGGTATTTCTTTTGGGGGTGATTAAAATGTTCTGGAAAAAAAAAATGTTCTGGAGTCAGACAATAGTGATGCTTGTACAACTCTATGAATATATTAAAAACACTGAATTGTACTTTTCAAAAGAACCAGTGTTATGGCATGTGAATTGGATCTCACTAAAGCTGTTATAAACAGTGTACATACAACCCCTCTCACAGCTGGCACGTTCTGACGTGTGGCGCCTCAGTCCTTGCTCTCCAAACCTCATGACCTCTCTTTAGGTCAGTGTTATACAATAAAAATGCAATGTGAGGCACATGTGTAATTTCAATTTTTCTGGCCTTCTACCAGTCTTCTAGCTCATGCAGACAGGCCTGCCTTCTAATGTTCAGCTGGGAGCATGTGGCAGTTTTCTGGAGCTGAATCATCTTCCATCCTCCCTGGGGATCCCCAAGGGGTCTCACAACCTAGCTGGGGTACGCAGCTGGAATCCCAGGGGCTTCCGAGAGGGTATGGTTGGTTTATAGGGGAGAAGGGGTCAGAAAAGATAGGGAGGAAGGGAAGATGGTGGGAAGTGAGAGAAGAAAGAGGAGGAAACATTACCACTTCACCCAACTTAACTCAGACTCGAATGTGCATCCAATTACCTAGAAGTCTTGTTAAAACACAGATTTTGGGTGTCACCCCAGAGTTTTTGATTCAGGAGGTTGGGAGTGGGGACCAACAATTCTCATGTCTAATACATTTTCAGGTGAGGCTGATGTTTTTGGTCAGGGGACCACACTTTGAGGTCCAGATTGGAGACAGTGCACCCCTTTTAGACACTGTTTTGCTCTTCATAATGGGTAAGCAGATCTGCTCCTTCCAAAATAACCTTGCAGCCAACAGCTGAGTCCATTTGTTTGTTCACACAGCAGCAAGATGTCCAACAAGTCCCTAAAGGAGCTAATGAGCAATATGGATTCACCTCGTCGTTGTCTGTCAGAGGAAAGGCTTCCATGCTTGGTAATGGGCCTTTGGTTGCTCCACGGGGCTCTGTGGCCAGAATAAAGTGCCTTGTCATCTAAGTGGTAAAGGCCTTTCTTGACTGCATGCGCTGTCGGCACCTTACTTGACCTCATTGGAGCCACATGTCCCCATCACCATGCACTTGGGCCAGAAAGCCTAACCGAGCCACATTCTCCTGAATAACACCTCTGATTCCCCACTAAACTGGGGGAGTAGTGGATGGCTTCTACCTATCCTCAGAATCCATTTATTTCTATTTTGGGGGTGTGGAGGACAGGAGAGGGTGTGTGTCCCCACTGTGCAAAGGCCTGGGACATAGTGGCCACCACTCCCATGTACTGTTCTAGGAAGATTTGCTAGCCGCCTGCACAGTCTGACCCCTACCTACGTGGAGCGGCAATGAAAGAGGACAATGATGATATGCATCCCAGGTCTGCTTCAAGGCCAGGCCTGTGGCACAGCTCCAGGCTGGCTGCACAGCGAGGCCTCAAGAAATGTCAGCCTGGATAATTGTGGGTATGATTAGGAAAAGTGTCCCAATCATGGGCTGATATAGACTCTCTTGCTTGATGCAATTCACAGCCTCTGTCTGGAAGGAAATTAGCATTCCTGATAAATGCTTAAGCAATTTTCTGATAAACTTTAACAAGATTAAAACCTCTTTGGGGAAATCAGTGCCACACACTGAGCTGATTATCAGACATTCTTTGTCTTCTATTTAGTTTAATAGTGATTATCCAACCATTCTCTTTTCCTGTGAAATGTCCTTAACAAAAGGGAACTGTGACTTGGCTTTGTGGCAAGATTGAAGTAAAACTTTGACATGTGCTTATAACTAATTAATCTGAAAAAATGTAAAACAGTCATTATAGACCAGACAGAACACAGGAATAGTAGTTAACATTTGTTAGCTACTTTCTGCTTGCCAGGCATTATATGAAAAGTTTTATAAAGCTCAGGTTAATTTCTCTTTATAATGAATTGGGTTTAAGAGCTATTTGACTTGTAAGATGCTCAGAGAGGTGAAGTGACTTGCCCAAGATCACACAGCCAATAAATGGCAGAGCTGGGTTTTGAATTCAGGCCTGTCTGAGTCCAGAGCTGGGGCTAGCAATAGCTACACTCGTCTGCCTCTGCCAGAAGAATCACAGCAGGAGATGGAGAGAGGGATGGTGTCTGCAAGAGGGCAGGGAACTGCAGTGGAGGGAGAGGGCCCTCCCAGGTAGAGGGCATGGGAAGGTACAATGGGGGAAGAGGTGGCTTAGCCAAGAATGGGAGGCAAGGGAGGGATGCTGGAGATGTTGAGAAGGGCAGTCAGGAGCAAAGACAAGGGCGGGGGCAGAGCCAAGACCCAGGCATGTTCAGAGGAGATCGTAGAGTTTAGACTGGCAGCTGCAGAAATGGTCTCCAGGCCTCTCAGTAGCAAGAATGTTTGTCATCGAGGCATGTGCTGCCAGCTGGATTTTCATGGCTCAGGATTCCGAGAGCCCATCCCAATCCCAACATTTCTAGCTGTGTGACTTTGGACAGGTCGCTTCACCTCTCTGAGGTGAAGGTTTCCTTGGCTGAAAACTGGGGAGTAATGATAGCTTTTCTCTTACAGGATTGCTATGAAGATTAAATGAAGTAAACTACAAAAAGTAATAGCATCTGCCTGGCACCTACTAAGGCTCCAGGAAAAGGTGAAATGTCTGTTTTCATGTTAAATGAATTTATGCTATCATGTGTCACTATTTTCTCAGGAAAGCTGAGGAAAAAAAAAGTTTTAACTTCTTATTTTAGTAAATTTCAGACTGTTTGAAAAGTTGCAAAAACAGTGCAAAGAATTCTTGGCCACTCTTCACCAAGATTTTATACACACACACACGTGTGCACATTTCCCTCCTGAACTATTTGCAAGTCAGATGCAGGCCTGATGGCCCTTTACCCCTCAGTATGTCACTGTGTATTCCCTAAAAGCAAGTACATTCTGTAATATGGGCACAGTACAATGATGGAAATCATGAAATTGACCTTGCCACAATACTATTATCAGCAGAGCACATTCAGGTTTTGTCCATGGTCCCATAATATCTTGGCTCATATATTGCATCCAGTCGCCCTGTATCTTAAGTCTCTGAGTAGATAACAGTTCTTTAGTCTTTTTTGTCTATCAGGACCTTGACATTTTTGAAGAGTACAGGCCAGTCACTCTCTTGAGGCTTGTCTGATATTTCCTCATAATTACATTCAGGGCAGGTATTTTGGGTAGGAGGGTGCTCAGTGCATCACATTACTCTGAACATTTTTGTTCACAACCTTAAAAGAGGGTCCACTCGTGGGAAGAATCCCCTGAAGGAATGGATCAACATGCAGACAGGCCCTCACCCCCAGGACCCTGAGGGTGTGGGCCGGGTATCGGAGGTTAACAAGCATCCTAGGCCACCAGTGACCTATTTCCTTCCAGCCGCACCATTCAAGACATGGCCAGTAGATGGCGGTGCAGCCTGCACTTTTAACACAGCTTCTGCATTTCTGGAAAAATCTGAGTGAGAAGCTTCCAGAGAATTCAAGTTAACATCTAAGCCAAGGAGAGCTTGGCTGTTTAAGCTGCCTGCCTCCTGTCCCTTCAGAGTGATTTCTCTTGATGGCCCAGGACTTCAAAGTGATTAGAAGTTATCTGGTGTGTCCTAAGCCAGAATGGCCCACTCCTCTAGGTGAAGACCCCTCTTTCTAAAAAGCTAGCCAGGAACTGTTAAAATAATAGTAGCAATAATGCCGCCTTCCTCCCAAGCACTTAATGAGCACTTTCGGTATGCTAGGCACTGTGACAAGCACGACTCATTCTCTTTATCATTTGATGCACACAACCCACAGCTGAGGAGGGATTGTCAGAGGGGGTAACCTACCCGAAGTCACACAGCAGGTCATTGTCACTCACTGCCTGTCTCCATCTTGGCTGAATCTTGTGCTTGAGTTAGAGGAGTGGGTGGGGAGTAATTATGTCTGTGTCCCCCTGAGAAAGAAGGGGATGGTCTTCCCTGCCCGTGGCGGCCGGGCCAACTGGGACAGGAAGCTGCAAGGGATAGGCACTAGACCAGTCCTCCTGGAAAGGAGGGCTTGATGGTCAGGGGGCAGAGGTGACATGGATCGCAGCACATGGAGGGCCAATGGCACTGCTGTCTAGCAGACTCTGAGAGGCTGGAGGGTCTGGGGGCCTGGGTGGGACCCTGGGGCACATTTGGCCTTGCAATGTCCATTTATGAGCAAATCATACTTGTTGAATTTGTTTCCAATATATTGCACTGAGGGGATTATCAAGGGAAGGGATCCATAGTATCTGGGAAGATGGTGAGAAATGAGCCAGGAGACACTGGCAGGCAGGGCTTTTCAGCTGGAGACTGGGCTGGGGGGCTTCTCATTGATGGGTGTGGTCACGAGAAGTGTCCTAGAGAACAGAGAAGTTTGCCTGGAGCTCTGGAGGGCATCCTTACAAATATATATTGCTATGGAGGCAGGCTCTGCCAGTTGCTTATGCAAGACCTTATCTCCCCTTCCTTACTGGCAGAACCCTGATTTAGTTGAAGCGGCCAACCTGCCCAGCTAAAGAGCTACATTTCCCAGCACTGGCAGCCCGTCCTGGCCAGTGAGACATGAGTCAACAATGCTGGGCGGGTGTCTTAGCCTGGATTCAATCAGGAGAGAAAACCACATGGTAATTTGAATAAGGAGTTTAATATACCAAATTATTAACTGTTACAGGGGATTGCAATGTGGGGTTGGCTAGTAAGAAGGAAAAGGAACTCTAAAGAATACATAAGTAGCAGACCTAAGGAGCAGCCACTACTCTTAGGGCTAAGATAGAGCTCTCCCTCCCTGCTCGACTCCCCCCAGGACTGCGATCCAGATTTTAGTGGGGACGGCATGGCTGTATTTCACTGGATGGCAGAGAAGTCGCTGTATCTGTGCTGGCGGAGTTTGCCAGAAAATTGCCCTCTATGGTACCAGGGAAAGATATTCACAGAAAGGTATCTCAATGGAGGTGCTTGGATACAAAATGAGCACAGCTGTGTATGCTGGGGGAAGCTGCTGGCCTCTTGTGCTGATGCCCTACCATGCACTGCAGGCACCCGGTTCCTGCTGGAGTGGCTGCCTAGCTGTAGGAGGCTGCTAGGCGAGCCCGTCTGAACCAGGGATGGCTGGGCTCCTGGAAGAACTCTCTAAAAGGAATTCAATTTAGTGAGCTTGCCCTTTTGCACTGTGATCTTCTCTTTCTTCCTACAGCCTGGATCCAGAGTAAAGAAGACTTGGAACAGAGCTGCTGCTGGCAATGTGAGCAAGAAGTAAACCATCGTGGTGGTTGCCCGCTGAGACCTTGGTGTTGTTTGTTCTGCAGCTACCCTGGTGAAACCTGACTAATACACATGATAAATATTTTTATACAATTTTTAAAATTAAGGTATTATTGATATACACTCTTATGAAGGTTTCACATGAAAAACAATGTGGTTACTGCATTCACCCATATTATTGAGTCTCCCCCCCACATACCCCAATGCAGTCACTGTCCATCAGTGTAGTAAGATGCCACAGAGTCACTACTTGTCTCAAATGAAGAAATTGTATGTAATTGCCAGATAAAGCAAGTAGAAGTTTCCTCTGTATTGTAAAAGATGAGGAGGAGGTAAGAATTATGGTTAAAGGAAGAGCTAGAAAAGTCTTATTCAAAGGAAAAGAGAAAGAGTCATAAAAATACTTCCTGGACTTTAGAAATACTGGTGCTTACAAATGTGTTACAGGATCAGAGGAGTAAAAAGAACAAAATGGCAAGAAAGAGGTAAAACATTAAAGGAAATGTGAAAATACTCTATTTATATAGAACTCAAAAGACTCCCTGATGTTGGGCAGGAATATAAAAGGAATATTATTAAACCAATAAAGCGTGGTTGTTAATTACCTAGAGGCTGAGCAGAGTTGTGTGTGTAAGACACAGCTGGGAGCATCTCTGTCCTTGAGACTTCTGATTTGAAGCCACTGTGTTCTTTCTCAGAGGCACCTTAGCATGCCTTGCCCGTCCTCATCAGCAGGCACACAGGCTTCCTGCTGAACTCCAGTTTCAGAACGACCTTTGAGGGTGTCCCCAGGGATCCAGACACATAGTTCAACAACCAACCTCTCAATTTAGTGAGCATCCAGCTACTGGCTTTCCCAGCGTGGCAAAAGACTGAAGCAACTGGCTTAGCTGGGTATAAGGAGAAAAAAGGTGGCAGAGTAAAAGCCCCCGGTGGCCTCCCTCCAACACCTCTCAGGTGAACAACAGCAGAGACAAAATGACAGAGCGAGCAACAGAAGAACATGCCATCTAAAATGAATCTGGCAGATTTGAGCAAACTGGTAGTAGGTCCCAGACACACAGATATCTGTGACCCATTAAAGGAAGACCTTGAGAGCCCCCTCCTATCTCCCGGATATTAAGTAGGTGTAACTTTCCTAAAAGTGACTGACATGATCTAGAAGGGTCTGGCCAATGTCTTTACTTGGAAAGATGAGGACTCCGGGCAGAGGTGGACTCAAGAGACTTAGGGAAGATTGAACCTGGACTTGTCTTCGAGCCCTGGGGTGGTGGGAACCTGGGTGGGAGGGGACCCAGGAATCTCACCACTCTTATTTTCTCCGAGCCAGGCTCCCAACCCAAACCAAGCAAGGTGAGGAGAGGAGAACTGGGAGTGACGCTCTGACATCACCCTTGCACAAGGCCAGCTGAACAGAGATAAGTAAACTGAATCACACTGAATAAATGGTGGTTCAAGTCCTTACCATGAGCCACATGTCACAAAGGGATACAGAGAATCTGAATGAAAAACAAATCAGGTGGATATTAGTGATAATATTGCATTGTATATCCTGCCAACAGAGAATATACCTTCCATTGAAACACCCATGAGAGCATTTACAAAAATTGACCTTTCCCCAAAATAGGGATAGTAGAGACCTCTTTGACCACCAAGTAATAAGCCCAGAAATTAAAAAACAAAAGTAGAAATGAGATCAAAACAACCCAACCACATGAATAATTTAAAACCCCCTTCTCAAAATTTAAAGCTCCACTTAAAGTCAAAATTGCAAGTTCAAGCCCGATTGGGAAGAAAGAAAGAAAAGACTATGTCTCAAAACCAATGAGAAACAGCTAAAGCATACTGAAAGGAAAATTCAGCCCCAAACACTTACATTTCTGAAAAAGAAAAAGAAAAACAAGGATAGACGAATCAAGCACTCAGCCAAGGATGATCTAGGATGAGCAACAAAATTAATCTAAGGAAAGACAGGCAGGATGAAGATGGGCAGAAATTACTGAATCAGAAGACAAAATGAAAGTAGAATTGATAAATTGAAGAGCTGAGTCCTTGTGGGGAAAAAACTCATAAAATAATAGATAAGCCACTAGCTAACCTAATCAAGGGGCAGGGTGGGAGGCAGACAGACACAGTACAGAGAAGGCACAAGTAAGAATGAGAAATGAAAGATAAGCACGGCAAGAGAACATCTTAATATGTATTTTTTAATTACATAAATAATGCACAGATACATGTGCATTAGAAACAAAAGTCAAGTAAGAGGAAAAAATAGAGTAAAAAGGCAAAGTCCTTTGTATTAGTTTGTTAAGTTTGCCATAAAAATACCAGACTATGTGGCTTGAACAACAAAAACTTACATTCTTATAGTTCTGGGGGCTGGAAGTTCAAGGTCAAGGTGCATGCAGGGCTGGTGTTTTCTGAGGCTTCTCTCCTTGGGGTACTGACAGTCACCCTCTTGCTCTCTTTACATGCCCTCTGTACACGTGCCCCTGGTGTCTCTCTGTGTGTCCCCATTTCCTCTTCTTACAAAGGCACCAGCCAATTTGGATTAGACCCCAGCCAATGGCCTCATTTTAACTTAATGATCTAGGATGAGCAACAAAATTAATCTAAGGAAAGACAGGCAGGATGAAGATGGGCAGAAATTACTGAATCAGAAGACAAAATGAAAGTAGAATTGATAAATTGAAGAGCTGAGTCCTTGTGGAGAAAAAACTCATAAAAATAATAGATAAGCCACTAGCTAATCTAATCAAGGGGCAGGGTGGGAGGCAGACCCTCATTGAAGACCCTATCTCCAAATATGGTCATATTCTGAGGTACAGGAGCTAGGGCTTTAACACACAAATTTTGGGGGGACAAATTCAGCCCATAACTCCCTCTGTGACCTTTCCCCCTCATGTCTCACCTTTCTCCCCAGGAGTAACATGACTAACCAGGCCTTCCCATGACGCCCGGGGAACCCAGGATGAGTCAAACCAAGGCCCACAGGACATACATCTCCATATTTTTTGTAAATCCAGTTAACAAATAGTTACATAAAAACATTCTATCCTCCCACAGGTTTGGATTTAGAATTTCTGGACTCCTCAGAGTTCCGCTGGAGCGTGGGAGTGGGGCCTCCCTTCGATTCCCATGCCCCACCCTGTCTACACTACATGTGCTTCACGTGCCCACGTATGGAGGCTCCAACCTGCACATCCACGTCCCTCCACACCCGCCTCAAACCACACCCCTTGGCTCCTGGTTGGCCTGGCTGCGGTCACAGCAGCGGCGGGCTCCATCCTCAGGAGCACGTACCTGGGGCGAGGCCCCTGCGGACCCTGGCAGGAATTCCAAGGTCCCAGGAACAGGAAGCCTGATCTAGAAGGAACAGCTACAGTTATTTTTCAAACTCAGTGAGAAGCTGACCTTTGCATGACTAATTAAAAACCCATTGGCCTCTTTTATTTTTTATTAAAGTATAGTTGATATACAATATTATATTAGTTTCTGGTATCCAAGCCCCACAGTACCTTTATCCCAGCCAAAACCCTTCTGCTCTGGTGAGGTTGATATTAGGTGCCCGTTTTATGGGGGATAAGGCAGGGGCAGCATGGAGAAAGCAAGTGTGTCAGTTCCTGGGGCTGCCATCACAGGGCACCACAAACTAAGGGGCTTAAAACGACAGAGATACTGTGTTATAGTTCCGGAGGCCAGAAAGTCTGAAACTGAGGTAGCACAGGGCCACACTTCCTCTGCGACTTAGGGAGAATCCTTGCTTCCCTCTTCCTAGCTTCTGCAGCCTCAGACATTCATGGTTGCAGTCTCTGTATTGGTCCGGTCTCTGCCTCTGTCATCATACAGCTGTCGTCACATCACCTTGCCTCTGTGGCTGGCCGTCTGTGTGCCCAAATTTCCCCTTCTTATGAGGACACCAGTCATACTGGGTTAAGGCCCACCCTAATGACCTCATTTTAACTTGATTATGTCTACCAAGACCCTATTTCCAAATAAGGTCATATTTTGAGGTATTGGGAGCTAGGGCTTCAACATATCTTTCTTGGAGGACAAAATTCAACTTATAACAGCAAGTAACTTCAAATCATGAAACGTTAGAGCTAAAAGGGAATTTCTCTGTTGGGGCCAGCCGACTCCATACTCTCTCTCTGCATGACCTTAACCATGCCCAGCCTCTCTGAAAATAGAAAGTTGTCAAGGAAATTCACCAAAATATTAACTATGGCAAAGGTCATCTCAGTCTACCAGGCCTCACATCCCTGTTGCCTTTGTTTACCCTCCAGAACGTAGGCCCTTCAGGCTCCCTCTTGTTGCCTGCAGTCCTGCGTTTCCATGCTCCTCACTTAATATTTCATGTCTCCTCTGCCTCCCACGCACCCTCTGAAGCCCCAGTAGACGGCTTAGAACCACCAGCGAGAGTGAGATATCGGTGAGATATCCGTTGGGAGCACTATGATCTGAACAGCAGTGACAGGAACGTGAAAGGCAGGGGCGCTGAGCATGTGTGGCACCAGCAGAGGCAAAGATATGGAGATAATTAACCTCGGACTAGAAACTGGAGGAGCAATGTGACAAGGGCCTAGGGCAGCTTGTAATGGGAAAACAATTGGAGTATTAGGTTAAGTGACAAGAGATTTCAAATCAAATCAGCAGGTACATAGTAAGTGCCTGAGTTAGGACTGCAATGAGCCGTGGGTGATACTAAGGCATATAATATCTGTTTCCTGCCCTCAAGGAAATTATTATCTATTTAGGGAGGTTAGACATAAAATTCAGAAGAAGTTAGGTAACAGAATATTTAAATAGCAGTTCACAATACCATACCATCAGTTGCCAAATGTACTGAAGAGCAGATAACAAGTTTTTAGCATTCTGAACCAGGAGACATTATTTGGTTATTTATGGTCTAGATAGAGGCATATTTTCCTGCCTGGGAGAAGGAAGGGGTTAACCAAGCAAGGTAAGTCAGTGAAACAAAGAGCTGGTTTTTTACAGAATCAACAAAATTGACAAGCTTTTAGCTAAACTAGTAAAAAAGAGAAGATTCAAATAAAATCTGAAATGAAAGAGGAGACATTACATCTGATGGCACGGAAATACAAAGGGCGATAACAAATTACTATGAATAATTATGTGCCGATAAATTGGGTAAGTTAGAAGATAAGTTAGAAGATATGGATATGTTCCTAGACACGTTTAACTAACCAAGGTTGGATCATGAAGAAATGGAAAATCTGAGTGGATTTATAACTAGTAAAGAGATTGAATCAGCAATAAAAAAACTCCCAACAAAGAAAAGCCAGGACCAGATAGCTTCGCTGAGAATTCTGTCAAATATTTAAAGAATTAATGCCAATCCTTCTCAAAGTCTTCCAAATTATTGAAGAGGAAGGAACATTTCCAAACTCATCGTATGAGGCCAGTGTTACTCTGATGCCAAAGCCAGACAAAGACAGTACAAGAAAAGAAAAGAACAGGCCAATATCACTGATGACTATCGGTGCAAAAATACTCAGCAAAATACTAGCAAATGGAATTCAGCAGTACATTAAAATGATCATACACCATGACCAAGTTGGATATATCCATGGGATGCAAGGTTAGTTCAACATATGCAAATCATTCACCATGTTAACAGAAAGGATAAAAATCACATGATCATTTCAACAGATGCAGACATAGCATTTGACAAAATTCAACACTTTCAGGATAAAAACATTCAACAAACGAGGGAAAGAAGAAAACTACCTCAGCATAATAAAGTCTGTATATGAAAAACCCACAGCTGACATCATACCCAAAGGTGAAAGACTAAAAGCCTTTCCTCTAAGGTTAGTAGGAACAAGGCAAGGTTCCCCCCCTTACCATGCTAATCACACTCCTCTGACACCAGATGCTGTGGTGTCTTTTTTCCCTACAAGTATGTATAACAGTAACAATATTATACACAGCACTAATGGTAGTATAACTCCATTGGACCCAATTCCAATGTGTGTAAGGATGTGGGAGGGGGTCTTCCCACACATGCTAACACCAAGTAGTTCTTGAACACCAGCAGGGTGTCAAGAACTCAACTCATTTCGACGCTGTCTGCCCAGAGACAGCAACAGATTCCTTAGGTTAAGGGCTCTATTCTATAAGACTGCCCTCCACTCCCCAACATCAGACACCAGTCATAAGCCCCAGGCAGTTTCCTGTGCTTCTGACCTACTGGCTACAGATTGGCAGTTCCAACCACCTCCCCTTTAGGTTCTGTTAATTTGATAGAGGGGCTCACAGAACTCAGGAAAACACTTAGGTTTACCAATGCAATAAAGTATACCATAAAGGATACAAGTTAACAGCCAGATGAAGAGAGACAGAGGGCAAGGTCCCAAATAAAGGAGCTTCGGTCCTCGTGGAGCTTGGGGCCTGGC